CTCGTCCCACGCCTTCCTTCGTCAGTTGTGGCAAAGTATGCAACGATAAAGCAAGCGATTTTACAGGAGTTACGGCCCAGCGCAGGGCTCGATGGGAACAGCTGCATTGTCTCAAGGGGGAGATTGCAAGCCGAGGAGGTTGCTCCGCGGAATCCAGTGCATCGCATGTCCCTTATTTTCAAGCGAAGAAGGGATAATGGAGGCGTGGTTTGCACGTCTCCTAGAGTCATTGCCGGTAATGCTTTCCATGTTTCCGGATAAGTCACTGAAAGCATTAGCTACCAAGGCAGACGCTGCGTTCGAATATCTTCCGCAGCAGAAGACCAGTAACTCCGGTGACGTATTCTCACTGATAAAATCCGAGTCTCATATTTTCTCCCAGTCGCCAGGCCGATCTAACCCTATGGACGAGGAAATTGTGCTACTTCGCTGCAGGCCCGGCAGCAAGGAAGGCTTCGAAGCAGCATATGCCATGGTCAGATGCAGGCCACGTTTCGGCTACCGTTCATTGTGACTCGTCGGTGTCTGCACCGAGTACGTCTCATTCGACACGAAAGTGAGGCATTTTCTCCGCACGTTCTCAGTCAGGTAATACCAGATCCGTTGAAGAATTATGTTGGTATAACCGCTAATATGGTAGAAGAGCTAGAGGTTGTCGAGCATCCTGCATTAAGCACGACTCAGCCGCTTCACTAGAAGCGAATAGCATGCATACTAGCACGACCGACGTATCGGTCAATAACTAAACAAATCGCCTGTTTTGCCTTAGAAGTCAACGTTCTTCCATTATCATCCTCATCGACTTGGAAGCGAAAGTCAGCGTCGTCCCTTTGAACGCGAACGACAAGCACACAAAGTCTACGTACAACCGACGTGCAGCCAACGGTTCTCCCATGGCCTCATTTGGTCAACGCTTGATGAACCTGGACCTCAACCTTTGCCGATTTTCAGTGGGTCTTTTTGGTAGCGTTTGTAAGCTTTGCAATTATCGGTATCGACTTCTTCCGACATATTGGGTTGATTGCGGCTGCTGGTCGCCACAGACGTTTAGACGACCGTACTAAACTAGGGGTGAATAGCGCACGTACGGACTCCCGGCTAATCAGTACGGTTTTCCGAATCGCCGAGGTAGTTTCAGATAATTCGAAGCTACTGCCTGAGTATGCGCTACTAGTACTACCAGCTGCAAAACCACCGTCATTCACGACAGAGGTTGCTTATCAATTGTGGCGCGCGGTCCGCTAACGAGTGCCCGACTAAGACGACTCACCTCGGACAAATTACGTGCCGCAAGTGCTGAATTCGATCATATGCTTCAGCTCGGTTTCATAAGACAATCCAACAGCCCACGGGGGTCAACTCTCCACATGGTTCAGAAAATGATGATGGTGGACTGGCGTTCTTATGGCAAATATTGATCCCTAAACAACGTAACCACACCTGTTGGCTATCCTATTCCACATAGCGTAGCCCTCACCGCTAGTCTGGCAGGTAAAAAGGTTTTAAGTAAAACCAACTTAGTGCGCGCTTACGACCGAATTCCGGAGGCCGAAGCGGACATCTCTAAAACTGCAGCGACAATTCCATTTCGTTTTTCGAGTTACAGAGCATGCCATTTAGGCTAAAGAATGCCGCGCAAACTTTTCTGCACTTCATCGACTAAGTCAGTCACGGCCTAGACATGGCTTACGCCTACCAAGAAGACCTCTTTAATCGAGAACTCCTCACGCCAGGATCAGTTAGGACTGGTTCGAACGCAGTTTGATCGTTTATCTCAAGAGGTTGATGATCAAGGCAGAAAAGGGTTCGTTTGGTGTCGATTTGGTCAGTTTTCTCGGCCACCATATTCCACCAGTAGGCATAGTGCCACTACCGCGTAAAAGTAAGACCATCGAAGCCTACCCTGAGCATCACACTGGCAAACAGCTGCGAAGCTTTAATAAGCTTGTCAACTTCTATCGTTGTTTCATACCTACTTGCACTTCGCTTGTGAAACCCCTCACGGGCTTTTCCCAAGGGAAGCTTAAGATATTCGATTTCCTACTGCATCCTTCCAGACTTTGAAAGAGGCTATCGCCAACATAGCTTCTATAGAGCATCATGACTCGGCAGCCTCACTGTCGCTCAGTACCGAAGCTGCTGATGTGGCAGTTAGGATGGTCTGACAACAAAAGGTAAGTGACGCTTGGCAATCGGTGTCACTTTTCTCCAAACGGTTGCAACCTGCTGAATCACTTTACAATACTTTTGGTAGCTAACTATTAGCCAGTTATTTATCCATACGTCATTTCCGACATGTCTTAGAAGGCCACTACTTTGCCGTGTTCACCGACCACAAACCTCTGACTTATGTGCTCAGCTGGACTACCGACCGATAGTCTCCTAGGTAGTTGCGCCACCTAGACTATATCGCTCAGTTTACGACCGCTATAGGACATGGTGGAAATGTGCACAACACTGTCGCCGATGCACTTTCCCGAATTCAAGCGACCTGTGCGGACGCTGGCATCACTATTACCTTGACAGCTATGGCCGCAGCGCAACACAATCAACCTGAGGTTGATATACTACACAGGTCTCCTCAACTGGATATACAACTCATTCCGCTGACATCCTCAGACGAAACTATACTTTGCTACTTATCTCTGAGCACGCCATACCCAAGTTGTCCCACGCAGGTTCCGGCAGACTGTGTTCGACATGTTGCATGGCTTGGCTTAATCAGACTTTCGTGCATCGGTTAAACTCGTAACCATACTGTTCGTCTGACGCAACGTCAGTCGTGACATTCGTACTTGGGCAACTGCTTGCCTTTCGTGTCAACGTGCGAAGGTGCATAAGCACATGAAAAGCACAGAACGAACATTCCCCACGCCAGATGCATGTTTTCACCACGTGAACGTCGACCTCTTAGGTCCTTTGCTGCCTTCGAAAGGCTTCGTATATCAGCTGACCTGTGTCGATCGGTACTCAAGGTGGTCGGTAGCTATTCCCATAGTTAACTGCTCTACGGAAACAGAAGCGAATGCTCCTATGGAGCGCTGAGTAGCTCAGTACGGCTGTCGCGCTAGCATGAATACCAAGCGAGGGTCACATTTATCGTCGGCTGTTCCCCGTTGCTAAAGCATTTAGTCTGTCGCCACGTTCAGATGACAGTGTACCATCCGACCGCTAACGACATGATAGAGCGTTTCATTGCCAGTTGAAGGCAGTGCTACATGCGCAGGCAGATCTTTCATGGTCTGAAGCCCTTTCTCTCGTTCCGCTAGGCTTGAGAAACACTGATAAAATGGATTTCAACGCAACACCAGCGCAGCTAGGCTACGGCTGCACACTGCGGTTGTCCGGACAGTTGTTAACGCCAGCCGCGTCTACTTCCTCTTTTGACTACGGAAGTTGCACCGAGCCATTGGCTCAGCAGATGTGTGAGCTATGTCCACCCATCCTCGATCGCAGAATACACCAGTGTACGTGCCGGAGAGGCTATCTGCGTATTCGCATGACCACCTCCGCACAGACGATATTCGGCAGTATATTCATTCGCGGTACATCGGACCTTTCAAGGTGCTACACCGAAAGAATAAGACGTACACTATTGACCGTGGTGGCCGACGCAAAGTCGTCACCATCAACCGTCTGAAACCTGCCTTTATGGAAGAAAACACTTCGCTTACTTCGCCTAGTAGTGTTTCGTGCGACGTCTCACCTCACCGCAGCTACTTTCAGCATCTTAGTGTAGGTCACCCAGACCACGATACCGGTCTAAAAGCATCAGCTGTTTAGACATCTCCCAAATCTAGCCCGCCGACACCCACGAAAAATCGCCGTGCTTGGAATTGCGTAAGCCGTTCGATTTACCGCATATGCACAGTTAATATAGGCTTAGGTTTGTAGATAATGTATATAGTTGCCCCGATTTTGGTAGGTTAATGTTTAAAAATATCAATAACTTCAGAAAGACGTTTTTAAATATTCAGAAACCAAGACGTCTAAACACGTATATAATTCATTTGTACTTGCTGGCATTTTATGCGCTGGTTATTCTATTTTCTCGTCGCTACATGCCCCAACCCTCCCAATTGATCGACTGCCCCACGCGAGCAGTTTTCGAGGATCAGCGCGGTAAACGAGGATCCTGATGCGAACGCTGGTCTTTTCTTCGTAAGTGGATCGTCGTTCCTCCGTGGTACAGGGGGTCGTTTTGGTGCGGGGCGGGGTGCGGTGAGGGTAAAACTATTCCCAAGCGCACCATTTGGCAGCGTCGGAGGTTGAGGTACTGTTAGACTTTTGCTGGGCTAGTCAGAATTTGTAGTCCGACAAGCCCACTCCAACGGCACGCCGGAATACAGCCTGCCCTACAATCAATAACTAATAAACCAAAAACGGCACAGCGGACTCCGACTTTCGACAAACCTCTATTTGACTTAAACGTCCACTCATTCGGCATGATTTGACCAACCAACTTCGATTCACCCGTCATTTTCGAATTCGATGGCTACTTTTCTTCAACTTTCTAGGAAGCAGCTGTGTAGCGCCCCAAAAGATAACTATTATATTGTGTACAATTTCGCTGGTGAGCAATTGTACACCATTCTTTCTTGTTTTATTCACCCTTACACTAGTCCCATTTGACCTACATCCTGCTCGATGCTTGGCCGTCTTGTACGTTCCCGCACCAAGGCGTTGCTATCCTCTGGCTTCATCCTTCCGCGTCTTCTTGTAACCCATCGAATATAGTCCGCTGTGTCCGAGTTCAAATGCCCTATGATATCCGTGCTTACTTTTGCGCACCGTCTTCGACTAGTATTTACTTGTCCTACAAGCTCCAACCGTCTCTCCATTGGATACTTTTGATCACTATTGCAGACGGATAAATTATTGTATGATCCTTAAGCTAAATTCAAAAGTAGATACTGTATTAATCTAGAACCCGGCATTAAGACGCGTTATACATTATGCTAACTGTTAGCAAGCATAGAAAAATTTCATCACAAACTTACATACCGCGACCAGTCGATGATTTTTCTCGCTAGATAACTTTGCTTGCACGGGAATACACTGTAAATCCACACAAGCCGTGCTTTCTTCTTTGACTTTGAGCGTTTTAATTCCTTCCGCATTTTCACCAGTCACTGGAATTAACTAAGGATTTAATGAGTTTTCGAAAGCAAAACTAACTTTTATTGTTCCGTTTAGCAGTCCCACAATCCAGAGCTTGTTGTCTGGTGTTATCCTTACGGTCAAAACCGTTACATCATCAAAATCACTGCTTATAAGCATTTGAACAAAGCAACTAACACGACAGTTCTGACAGCAAAGTTATCAGAAAGATTTGGTTTTTGGGGTTGTTTTTCCAGTCGTCTATCAGCTGAACGTTCCCGGATACTTGATGTTTCGGATTCCATTAGAAGGTTGAATTATTAGTCATTTAATTAGCCGAGAATCGCAGGCAAAATAATGGTCATAAGTTTACATTGAGTCAATTAGGCGCAAACGTAGTTAGCAAAGGTGGTTGGTTGGTGGCGTATTTAAACAAAATTAACACGTATAAGTTTTATACCAGTATTTGTATCTGCTTTCAGTACCAAAACACTTATTACTACGAGTGTTATTTAGTTATTATGGCATGTAGGTTAAAAATGAATATTGTGCCATTTCAATCTGAATGTTTCCAAATAGCGCAAATCCGACCAAGAAATTCAAAAATGTAGTTTGTAAGATAAGAACGCCATATCCTGCATTTCTATCAAGCAGCAAACACGCAGCACTCACAGTTAAACAAACATTCATTGTCTATACAAGTTGACATGTAGCTATGGCATCAGCTAGGCTGGGCAAACTGACTGAATTGGTGGCAGAAGCAATGAACACATCACTAAGTAGTGTTGCAATTTGATGGCGTTTGTGACGACGGAATCAGTTGAATTAGGAAACGGAACTGCTTCGATAGTTACAGGGAACTTAATTGCCACCGGATTCGGAAGCAATCCTGATATCTCGTTCTCAGTCCTACTGCGCGATCAACAACCCCACATGTAGGGCTACTGGAGGAGATCGTTCTCGATAACATATGATCGCCGTTCTGCCTCCAAAAACAGTTGACATTGGTCTTAAGCCTACTATGATAGCGCAAACCTTTGGTTATTTACGATCAGATTTACATCGAGCCCTAGCTTCACCACAGGGCTCCTGAGCGCCCGATTGGGGTACATTGAGACGGTCGAGAAAAATCATTGGCATCACTGATTTAGTTACATATTTATAAGTGAAATTTACTGGTTTAGCCATTGCTAACCTTTTTATAATATAGGTAGCGCGTTTATAGTTACAGCTTTTTGTATGTACCTTTCTTCACATCATTGTTATGACCTTGGATCACGTGACTTCGGGTAAGAAGTTATCGAAACTATAGTGGCGTGCTGTTGCATTTGAATCCTTGCTTTTGGAGCAGCATTTGCGTTCGCCTTCCAAAGCCTCATTTTTGTGCAGTTGCGGAAAAATTACAAGACTCTGAGGAAAACACCTAATAGAAAAGCTTATTTCGCTTTTTATGTTGCATTAACTTCTCTATAGTGCCTGTTTGAGTTATACTACAAGTTTCGTCCTGATCTCTGGAGTTATTCCTGCCTCGTATACACTAGGTTTAGCATCAGTTTCAGGAGCGAAATATCAACATGAAGAAATCAGGAAAGCAATGGGTCGAAGAAGGTCAAGCCAGTACTAATAACCACAGCATTAAAAGTTTGAATTGTTAGACTCGCTGTCGCGCGTCTTAGAAAAGTGTCGGTCGACTCATCGCATTCAGCCTGTGGACCATTATTGCTGATACCAGAAATCTTTGCGCATGGAATGCGACATATGGACTAGCAAAACTTGTGCATTTGTGTATTCGCCATTTCCAACACACGAGCACCGAAGTTTTATCTTGGAGCTGTTGTCCGGAGATGCTTTCGATTAGATCACTGAGAATAATCTATCGAAGAAGGAAGTGATCCTGGAAAGGTGTATGGCAATTCGTCGCCTACTGAATCGTCACTGTTAGGTGGATCCTGGGATACTGGTCGGTAATCAACGATACGTAAGAGACGTGTCAACTACGGGGCAGTGTACAAGTTGGAGGCGACTGAACATAATGTATATTGTGCAGGCTAGAAAAATAGAGAGCGAATCAACCAGAGCGAGAGACAGTGCAGCAAACTACTCACAAAGCGATCAGTGACAACGGATGTGCCGTCAGTAAAACAAGTGGACGTTTTGAAGGTTAAAACAACCGTAACCTTCAATGTTACAAACTACTGCAAGCTCATGTTTTCCGGCACATTACAAGGGCCTACTCTAGAAGGCTGAAGGATGAAAGCCTTTGATGGAGCTCTTAGTGGGGGAAAACGGAAGGTGAGGATAGATGCGCATAGTTTCATGGGTTTGAAGAAGAGCTTCCAAGCTGGGGTGTATGGCAGAGTTCCCTGGTTCCATGCTTTTGTTATTAATTATTTAAGATGATCGTGTGCACCAGAGTAGATCCTCGGCAGGTCGTCGTGGCGGGCTGGTCGGACTGCAAAAAACTGGCTGGTCCATAAAAAGGCCAACACGAACTTCCCTTTGCTGCAGACGCCACCGTGCGCTTGGGAGGTGACACTTCCCCCACCGCACTTCAGATCACCGTCCTCGCCGCACACAGAACTCCAGACGTCCTCTACAAACGAGGAAATCCGCTGTCCTCGTCGGCAACGTCTAGCCAGGCATTTGGGGACCAGCCCATTCGGGGCTGTCTGCAGCCGAGCGCAACTGAGTGTATTTTAAGTCAGGATGGGTGCCTTGGGTAGGCTGCCGAGCCACTCGGGCTTTGCCTTGGCAGTTTCGGCGATTGAGTTTCTGGAAGGCGGAACTCAGAGGGGCTGGGAAAGGGTCGAAGAAGTGGCTGGACCCCGGAGAGGGTACATGGCGTGCATGATAAAGCAAATACGCTTTTTAAGTTTTCAAAGGATTTTTAGTTTTTTTTGTTGATTTTGCAAAAGGTTTGTGGATGAAACGCACTAATACCACTAAAGACGAAAAAGGCGTGTTAATGGGAATAGGAAACGGTTACAAAATCTGAAAATCGGACCGGAGGTCTGATTTGTCCACCACGTCAGTCGGTTACCTGGGGTTGAGGCGGGGTAGGTTGGGGGTAAAGTGGCTCGGGGAGTTTCGAAACATCCAGTGCTCGGCAAGTCACCGCATTTGCCCATGCATGTATGATAGCATCAGGATGGTTTGCAAGTGCTTCGTCAAAGAAAGCCACTTTGAGGCGGAAGGAGGACATAGTTTTTCGGTGAGCATTCTGGTCTAAAGTGAAATGATTCGGAGTCAGTTGCAGAACTCTGAAAGTGCCAGTGTAGAGAGGCTGGAGTGGGCGTCGCACTCCGTCGGTGAGAATGAAGCGGTGCGTGCAGGTAGAGAGTCCGCTGTGCAGTTGCACATCTCCAATTTGTTCACTGGGTGGAGTCGGGCGTAGTAAACGCATGCTTTGAGCTAGGGAAAACGCAACATTAAGCGAACTCAAACCCGACCATGCGGAAGGCGAAACGAATTCTCCTGGCAACTTCAGCGCTTTGCCGTAAACCAGCACTGCTAGCGCACATTGCAAGCCAGCTCTGATGCTACTGCGAATGCCTAAGAGTAGGAGAATACGTTTTTGCCCCAGCTCATCTCGGAGGAGGCGCAGAGGGAGACTTTAACCTGTTTTTGGAAGAGTACAATTAAGCCGTTGGTTGCTAAGTGATACGCTGTGGTATAACTGCGGCGACAGCCTAAAAAGTTGCAAAACGCATCTAATTGTGAAGATTCGAAGGGCGTTCCTCGATCAGTTGTAATGGTGGGTAGGCATCTGTAGTGTAATACGCACCGATATAAGAAGGCCCGGATAACAGTCTCAGCTGTGCAATCCAGTACGGAAATGGATTCTGAACATCTGCTGAACCGGTCGACACATGTAAGAATGTGTACAAATCCGCGTGACCGATGCAAGGGCTTACCCAATCTAAGATTGCTTGCAATGACCGAGAGTCAGGGGCGCGAAATGAACCAAGCGGACTGCGGGAGTGACGATGTATTTTGGAGTGCTGGCATTGTAGGCAGGCGCGAGCACAGGTACGAACATCTTTGTTTACACGTGGCCAAAAGAAACGTTCGGTCACCAGTTGCAAATGTGCACGGATACCGGGATGTGATAGTGAGTGTGATGCCTCAAAGACTGTGCGTCTGAAGGAGACGGGCGCGAGGAGTCTAGGACAACCTGTGGAAGTGTCACAGAAGATGAGACAGAGGCTGTCCTGATCTCAGCAGTTCGTTTTCGCAACTCACTGGGCGGAGTGCGCATATTACCTGATCTACCTTTGAAAGATCGCCCAAAAGAAGCAGTTGCGCAATGTGGCATTGCTAATAGGAATAGTATGAAAACAATATTTGTTCATGGTGTTCCTGAGCTTCTGCATTCTTCCGATCACGATGCACAAAAACATGACCGAGAGCAGTGGTGCTACATCCGCGAAGCACTCACTGTTGACAATTTTATTGCTAAATCCCTGCCAAGAGTTCCGTCACCACCTAACTACAAGGGCTGCGGTCCAAGGCTAATGAAAGCAATACTACACTCGGAGGGAATGACGCACGTTCTGTTGGATAGCTAGTTAAAGTTTCGAGCTAGGCTGCCAACAGAGATCCGGCTAAAGGCAGCAGGCGAACGACCAAAAGTCGGATGCAATTCAATGGAACTTGCAAACGCAACGAATTACTAATCTGCACAGTCGTGCGGAGAGACCGACGCAACAGCCCCCACGGCCCACAGGAGGACCTAGCACAGCACGAATGAAACCTCTGTTCAGAAACGCTCAATAATGCCATGCAACACGACAGAGATACATAAAAAAAGATTAATGGCCGGCCACCTAACGGCCGGCTTAAAAGCGAACACAAACTTGACATCTATCAATGAACACCTAACAACAAAAGCCCCATCTTGCACGTCTACAAACGCCCAAGGCCTTCTAAGCAAGTTGGCAGAACTTAGAGAACTCCATGCCTCACAACCGCGGGACCTCGTCATGAATACAGAGACATGGTTAAACCCTGAGATAGACGATTCTGAGGTTAATTTACCCGGTATGTCGATGCTTCGGACCGATAGAACCGGAAGGGGTGGCGGTGTGGTTCTTTATTATAATACAAACCTCCAATGTGAGGTTATCGACCACCCGGAAATCCGAGCTCCTGATTCGCTTTGGTGCCGCATATGGTTGCGAAACAAGGACACATGCCTACTAGCCGTGATTTATCGCTCACCAAACTCAACTTCGGAAATGGACTCCAAACTGAACCACGTTTTCCAGTTTGCTTTGAACAAGTCCTACATCCAGATTCTTATCGCGGGAGACTTTATCGAGCATGACATTGAAACGCCGTCAACAGACGGTATGCAATTTAAAGCCTACTTGCAAGAGCTTATTGCTAGCCACCCTCTTTACAACCACGTAACCTCTCCCACCAG